CCTGGGGCAGAACTTGCTGAATTATTGTCTGTATGTCCTGTACAATATCATCAGGGCCAGGGCCAATTGGCAGGACAGGAGATAGCGGAATGGGAAGGGTTACCTTATCAAATTTTGAGGGAACTAAAAAAGGCTGTTACAGAGTATGGCATCAGTGGTAATTTTACTAGAGGTCTGGTTGAAGGGATAAAAACTGGATATACTATGATTCCTGAGGATTGGAAGCAAGTTTTCCGAATGATTTGACTTCAATGCAATATGTTGCTTGGGAAAGTGAATTTATGAGACATGCTCAAGCCGCTGCTCTGGGAAGTGGGGGAGCATACACGGTGGAACAAGTCTTTGGCTCAGGTCAATTTGCCTCAATTCCTGCCCAAATTGTGCTTCCCCCGGCCACCTTAACTATTATTTCTGAATGTGCTTTTTGTGCTTTTTTAAAGGCTCATGGGGAACCATGAGCAATTTTTTCCAATATTAGACAGGGGGCTAGTGAGCCCTATGCTGATTTTGTAGAAAGATTGTCTAAAGCTATCCATCAACAATTTGATCATCAGGAAGCGGCAGGAGAACTTCTTCGGCAGTTGGCTAGTGAAAATGCCAATGCTGCTTGTAAGCATTGTGAGCTTTGCAGCCGTTAAAGGCTACGTCTCAATACACTTTGGCTGATATGTTGCGGGTTTGCCAGAATATTGGTTCTCAAACTTATAAGATGCACCTTTTAGCTGCTGCTATACAAAAAGGGCAACGTCCTGCTGGCGATTGCTTTAAATGTGGTAAACCTGGACATTTTCAAAGAGACTGTCGCTCGACTCCTGCAGCCTCTCAAAATCGCCCTTCTAAAAAAATGCCCAATTTGAAAAAAAGGGATTTCATTGGGCTAATCAGTGCCGTTTTCGGTCGGGAAACTTGCCAATGGGTGTGGCACCCACCCAGAGCCAAAAGAGTGCCTTTCCCATAGTCATGTCTCCCCCTCCAGCCTCTCTTCTGCAGCCCCAGCCACAGCAGGTAGCGCTGGGCTCAATTTAATAACTCAGGAATCTGTGGAATTTAAATTTCCCTTGGAGGTTAAATTGATTCCTTCTCAATTTAAAGGCCCTCTTCCCTCTGGTTTAGTGGGTCTTATCTTGCCTCGATCTTCCGCTCATAAAAAGGGGTGCTTTGTGGTCCCTGGTGTTATTGATTATGATTACACTGGAACTCTTTTTATTCAGGTGTGGGTGAACCTTCCCCAAACTCTTCCTGCTCAATTGTCTATTGCTCAATTACTTTTGCTCCCCTATCAAGTCCCATGTCCTGGCACAGGGGCACGTGGGGATGCTGGTTTTGGTTCTACCTCTCCTTCTGTGGCTTTACTTCAGTCTGTTACTTCCTTTCGCCCTTTGTTAATTCACTATTTGAATAAGCTACCTTTTCAAGGGTTGCTTGATACTGGAGCCGATGTTACTGTTATTTCATCTTTACAGTGGCCTGTGCAATGGCCTAAGAAAGCAGTTTCTTCTTTATGGGATATAGGTGGTTCCATTGCAGCTTGGCAAAGCGTACAAGACATTCAATTCTCTACCACGGCTGGTAAGTCCTTTGCCCTGCAACCTTATATTTTGGATATTCATACTAATATTTGGGGTCGTGATTTACTTTATTTTTTAAATGCTCAATTGATTTTGGATGATGGCTCTTCCCCTTAAGTGGCTCTCTACCGCCCCCGTGTGGGTGGAGCAGTGGCCCCTTTCAATGGAAAAATTATCTGCTTTACAGCAACTTGTTCAGGAACAATTAGCTGCTGGTCATATTGAACCCTCTACTAGCCCCTGGAATACTCCTGTTTTTGTTATTAAAAAGAAAAGTGGGAAATGGAGATAATTCTCAAGGACAAGCTATTGTAGAACGTGCCCATCGAACCTTTAAGTCCTTTTTGCAGAGACAGCTGCAGCATGAGTCTGGTCCATACCATTTGCGAAAGATTCAACATTTACTATCTGTTGCTTTGTTTACCTGGAATTATTTAACTCTTGTAGAATCTTTTTCAGATATTCCTGTTAATGTTCATTTTCGTGCAATAGAACCACTGACAAGACCGCTAGTGAAGTATTGTCTTGCTCCTGACCCTCAGTGGCAAGGACCTGCCCTCCAATCACGTGGGGGCAAGTGAAAGCCACAACATACCAAGCTCAACAGCAATTGGCTCAAGCCGACCTACCTCAAACTCCTGAAAATCTAGTTGCTGCTGTTTTTGCTATTATTACAGCTAATTCTGTCGCAATTCTTTTTTGTATTCTCTTGTCTTCTTTTGGTTCTGTTACTGCTTTAAATGACACTCAGCCTATACAACTTAACCCTAATCTCTGGGTTCGTCATACTCAATATATGTTTTTGGTTCATGGTACTAATGTCACCTGTACTATGAACCTCTTATGGCTTTTGGTCAAGTTGCTTTCATACCTGATTTAATGCCTTCTTCTTCCTTTATTGTTTCACAGCTGCAAAACATTCACCATTCCTGGTTGTTTTCCAAGCCCCCAGTGCAACATAACTTGGTTCGCTGGCGTTATCTTCGTACTAATCAATTTACTAAAGGTTTATGTTTTTGTTGTTATGCTCACCATACTTGGCTTAACAATTGGAATGATTATGCTAAAGCTTGACGCATTTTATCGAAAGTAGGGAATTATAGCTATTGTACTGGTTATTATTGGTTATGGGGAACCTTTAATTCTTTATTGTATGGACCTAATTTAGTTCCAGAAATGTATCCTGATAATTTTCCTATTTTTAACGCTTCTGAATATCAGTGTGCTGCTATTGGCTACTTTTCCCTATCTGTGCAGATTGGTGCTGTTTTCTTCTTCATGATGACGCCATGCTCCATTAGGTCCTACATGTAATGATGAAGTCATCATTGATACACAACTTTCTTCTTTAAATACCTTTGGCCGTGCTGTGGCTGGAGCTATTACTGGGGTGATCACCTTAAGGGCTTACCCTGGAATAATAGCTCAAGAAAATAGATGTTCTATCCTGGGTTAAAGATGTCGCCTGGAGAAATCAATTAATGCCACTGCTGCTATTGTTTGTGATCTCCAACATGAAATTGAGGACCTGAATCAGGATGTTCTCCAGCAACGTTTTGCTGTTGACTATTTGTTAGCATGACAAGGGGTTTTTTGTAAATTTGTTGGCCGTCATGGATGTGCTGTTCATTTTCATTTCCTGAATAAGACTATTGAAGATGAACTTAATGAACTTCAATCATATTTTCAGAATAACGTTCATGCTATTTCTTCTCCTTTTGACTGATTGACTAATTGGCTTCCTGATTGGTCCTGGCTCAGACAGCTATTTCTTTATGTGGTGATTATCCTTGTCATATTGCTTGCTTGTTGTTGTTTCATTCAATGTATTCCCTCATTAATTGCTATGTTTCATCCTGCCTCTCTCTCTCTGCCTCCTCCTCAAATGCGTTATATTCAAAAATCTTTGTTCCCTCAAAATTAAATAAAAAGAGAGGACATGTAGGAGTTTGCATACGTGCAGGAATTTTCCTATATCGGAAGGCAAACCTCAGATAAGGAAGGTTACATGCACGTAAGCGCCAGGAAATGGCATCAGAAAATAAGACCCTAAATCTGTAAATAAGAAGAGCAAGAGAGGAGGAAATGGGATATGTTATACTTTAACTATAGCTAAACATTATAAGTGCTTAAGCAAGCAGTAATGGTTAACCAAAGATTTAAGTTACTTGGATGATTCTGTGAGCCAATGATATGCTGCCAAATACACTGTAACTTATAGTGACAAACTATATAATGTCACTCTGTAAATCAATAAATTACCACATATTTCCTCAACCTCTCTGTGTGTGGTCATTACAACACATTGATCCAGTCATAAATTGATACAAAACACTAAGAAATCTTAATTTTCAATTAACACAACTTAATATTTTACTCAATTATTTCCCTAAATTCTGTCTATTTAACCATGCCATTATCCCAAAAACCCGTTACTTAAATCTTTAAATCCTAACCAAATATCACTTCATTTTTTTTTCTTTTTGCTTAGATGAATGTATTTTAAATATATAAATCATTACAATTATTATAAGCATTTAAACAATATTTTAACTGTTGCTCCCAATATAATCATCTTCATTGCTGTTTATCCCAACATAATCATCCTAATTTTAATTATTAATCCCAACATAATCATTTTATTTTTAATCATCTTTTACTGTTAATCCCAGCATAATCATCTTTATTTTTACTGTTAAACCCAGCACAATCATTTCATTTTTACTGTTAATCCCAGCATAATCCTCCTTGTTTTGCTGTCATACCCAGCATAATCATTTTTGTTTTTTTGCTGTTAAACCCAGCATAAGCATTTTTATTTTTGCTGTTAATCCCAGCATAATCATCTTAATTTTACTATTAATCCCAGCATAATCTTCTTTTTTTTGTTACCATCCATCTATACATTACTTATTCCCAGTTAATCATATTATCATTATCTTTTTATGACAATTTAACATTGAGACATAGTTCTTACTTCAAACACATCTTTGTATGTATTTATGAATCTCTTTTAACATAATTTATTTCTCTTATATTCTAATTTCCATCAATATTTCAATTTTATATACTGTATCTATAACATGTTCTCATATTCCTACTCATTCATATTTATCTATAAGAACCTCCTTTTTATTATTACTATCCACCTATACATAGTTTTTCCATTTTTAATCACATTGTTTTAATCTTCTTTTTCTTTTTCCAGCCGTGTATACTTTATTTCTTCATATTCTCGCCTGCTAGCATATATTTCATTTCATTTTCAAAGTCTTCAAATGTTGTCTTCCATGTATCATTTTAGTTCTTTTTCTTACTTTTATTCCGGATAAAATGCATCAAGTTCTTCCTTCTCTTGTTCCTGTGCCAGATCCTTCTCTTATTCCTGCGCCAGTTTTTTAAATTGTTATTATTCCAATTATAAGAGTTCCGTTATATTTTATTTATTTTTACTTTTATTTATTTTATTAGATTTATATGCCACCCTACTCCCGCAGGACTCAGGGCAGTGAACAGCCAGATAAAACACATAAATTACAAAATTTAAAAACAATATAAAATCTGATTAAATAATTTGGCCTATGACAATTTAAACAACCCCAATGTTTTTAAGTCAAATTTAAAATTCATCATTAGAATTAAAAAGGAAAAGAAAAAGTTAGGCCAGGTTGGCCTGTTGAAATAGGAAAGTCTTAAGAGCGCGGCGAAAGGTGTGTAGATCCGGGAAAGTTTCCCTTTCTTTTCACCAAAGTCAAGCTGCCTGCAGACAAGAAGAAAAACCTCCTCCACACAATCCCATGGCTATTATCTGTAGAGTTCACAATTTTCCATAACAAAAAACAAGTTACAATGTTCCTTTTTGAACCAGAAGGTGTCTCTATACAATCCACAATTTCCATTAGTCATGCAAGTATCCATTTTGTTTCAATTATATAACAGTCCAACTTGATTACTCTTCTTCTTTAAATTTTAAAAATATCAAATCTTCTTTTTAAAGGTCCTGCTCAAATTTTAAAACTCTGTCCAGTCTTTTCACCACGTCTCAATATTTAATTTTTTCAATTGGTTCTGTTCAAAAATTAGTTGTTTGTTGGGTCTTTGTCTCTTTAAAGTTACATTTTAAACTTTCCATTGCCCCTTTGTTGTAGAGCCACTGTTTTATGGCTAGGGGTCTTATGGTTAATAATATTGCTCTAAGCATTGTTACAAGCCTGAGTTGGTTGTCACTCACCCAGCTTTAAAGAGCTCCGTTTCAATCCACTTTCCTCCTGCACATCTCTTAGCCCAGTTGTCCCAGCTTTGTGGCAGCCGCCATGGCTGCTACCCCCCGCCGCCGACTCACAGAGGGTTCCCTCTGACCTCCGAGGAACTTGCCTGTTCCCCTTGGTCATCCGAGGTGCCCCTCTTTCTTCCCCGTCCCTGCAGGATGGTTCCGGTCCGAAGACCCATCGGCAGTGGTTCGGCAGCCGGGGTTTTCGCAGCGCTCATCAGAGCCCATTATTTCCCCGACTATCTCGCCGCAACGCCAAACCAGAAGTCCTGTATTCACTTTTTTAAAATCAGCTGCCACACACAGGTGACTCATGCTTAAGTGATCACCCATTCAGACTCCAAGGACCCTTCACAGTTACTATTTTTGAGCCAGGTTTCAGGTAATCTGTTTTTCCTGCCCAGGTGTAAAAGCTTACTTTTCTCCACATTAAATTTCCTTTTCTTGGATTCAACCTTGTCTCCTTTGGATCAGAAAGGTACAATATGCAGACAGATAAAAATCTATAGGGACATGGTGGGTCAGTGCTTAGAATGCAGTACTATAGACTAATTGCCCACAGCCAGTAGTTTGATTCTGACAGGGTCATAGTTGATTCAGTTTTCATCCTTCTGTGGTGTGTAAAATGAGGACCCAAATTGCTGGGGAGCATATACTGACTTTTTAAACTGCTGAGAGAGTGTTGTAAAGCATTGTGAAGTGGTATATAAGTCTAAGTGGAATTGCTATTGCTATATATTTTCTCCTGAGCATGGATCCTTTTATGAGAAGTAAGAATACCATTCTGAGCAAAGCTATTTTCACATTCCATGCATTTATATGGTCTCCCCTGTGTGGATTTTGTTATGGCAAGTAAGACCATACTTCCGAGCAAATGTCTTTCCACAATTCATGCATTTATATGGTTTCTCCCCTGTGTGGCTCATCCTATGGCAGTTAAGATGATATCTTCGAGCAAAGGTATTGCCACACTCCAAGCATTTAAATGGCTTCTCCCCTGTATGGATCACCTTATGTAAAATAAGATGACCTATTTGAGCAAAGGTATTTCCACATTCTATGCATTTAAATGGCTTCTCCCCTGTGTGGCACCTTTTGTGTATAGTAAGTCCACTTCTGTAAGCAAAGGTCTTTCCACACTCCATGCATTTATATGGCTTCTCCCCTGTGTGAATCATCTTATGGGAAATAAGCTGACCACTTTGAGCGAAGGTCTTTCCACACTCCATGCATTTATACGGCTTTTCTCCTGTGTGGATCATCTTATGGGAAATAAGCTGACCACTTTGAGCAAAGGTCTTTCCACACTCCATGCATCTATATGGCTTCTCCCCTGTGTGGATCATCTTATGGGAAATAAGATGACCACTTTGAGCGAAGGTCTTTCCACACTCCATGCATTTAAATGGCTTCTCCCCTGTGTGGATCATCTTATGGGAAATAAGATGACCACTTTGAGCAAAGGTCTTTCCACACTCCATGCATTTATACGGCTTTTCTCCTGTGTGGATCTTTTTGTGCATAGTAAGTCCACTGCTTTGCGTAAAGATTTTCCCACACTGCGTGTATTTATATGGCTTCTCCCCTGTGTGGATCACCTTATGGGAAATAAGAGTCTTTCTTTGAGCAAAGGTCTTTCCACACTTCATGCATTTGTACGGTTTCTCTCCTGACTGAATCCTTTTATGGGAAATAAGATTACTACGTCTTTTGAACCTGTTACCAGACTCTCTGCATTTGTATAGCTTCTCCCCAGTGTGAATCCTTTCATGGGAAGTAAGTTGCCTGCTTTTTCCAAAACTTGTTCCACATTCCAAACATTTGTAAGGTTTCTCTTTTGTGTCACTCACTTTTTGAGATATAAGGAACTTATTTCCAAGAGAAGGAATGAATGTCCTATTATAACTTTGTCCGTTGTACTTTCTTATAGCATCTTCTGCTTTGTTTTGCCTTAAATAGTGTTCTTTTACTTGTAATTTAGCTTTGATTGGCTTCATACTTTTCCCAATATATTTTTTCCTTATTTTTTCCTGTTGGGCGAGAAAGTCTTGCATCGGAGCATCATTGGAAGATGAGCTTTCCTTATTCCAATCATTTGACTGGTTTCTATCATGGGTTTCTGGTTCCATTTGAATTCCAAACTTCTCAGTTCCATATTTAGCATTGATCACTTGGAACAGTTCATAGAAATGTTGATTCTCCTGCCCATTATTACCTTCAAAGCAAGAGAAATGAAAACGATAACAAGGTTAGAGAAAAAGATCAAACCGTACAAAGTCAAGTGAATTTCCTTCTGAATTTTTCCAAAATTGCATTATTCCATTCCATGTTTGCATGCTTACAGTGGTGTGATATACATAGGATGATTTTTATATTAATGAGTTCTGAAAGCTTTGAAAATATCTAGAAAACATCTCTTTCTTTACAATTATCTAAATATCTGCAAATCTCAATCAAAGTCTGTTTTGAGTCAAGGAATAATCAGGGGAAACACCGAAGGAGGAATAAGGAGAAAATTTAAGATTTATTGGGCTGGGTTAATTTCAGCAGAGATCTGTGAGAACTGAAACCATTTTGAAAAAAGCTCTTTCTTCCCTGATGTTCCTCGGAGCAGCTACTCCACCACGTCTGTCTGGCAGGCAGGACTCCCGCTCGGCCCGTTCCTTGATCCCAACAATAAGACTTTGGAGCGAAGTCCCTTCCCTGAAGCCTCCCATTGGCTTGTAAATGCTCTTTGCACTGAGACGGAAAAGGTTGGGAGGCTTCAAGAATGGCTATTTTGCTGCCCCAAAGTCTCAGCAGCTTGCAAGGGCTTTTTGGCTGGATCTGGTATAGGCTTCCAATTGCAGAGAACAGAGGCCTAAACTACTTTAGTGTGAGATCACACAAGACGAGAAATGCAAGATCTCATACTAATGATCTCTCGTGATCTTGCACTGCAGTATTTTAGGCCTGTATTCCCTACAAACTGAGGACTGCACGAGATCCAGGGCAAAAGTCTTTGAAAACAAAGAGGCCTCCCCTTTGTTTCCAAAGCATTTTGCCCTGGATCTTGTGCAGGCCTTGGAGAGCAGAGAACAGAGGCCTAAAGTACTCTAATGCGAGTTCATGTGAGATCAGTAGTCCCAGATTTCCTACTATTGATCTTGTGTATCTCTCACTACTTAAGGCCTCTTTTTTCTGCAAATGCACCCAAGCAGGCAAAGGAATTGATAGTTGCTATATTTTCATAAAATCCCAGCAGGGTGCGGTGGGGGTGCAGGTAGGCTGATTGTTGATGTAATGCTTCTGCTGTTATTTGTAAGTGTGAATGATGGCTGTGGTGCTATAACATTCACAATTTCAGGACTGAGTCCTAAGTACTTGGCAGAGGGCTAGGTCGTAACTTGGAACGGTTGCTTAGTGAACTGTCATAACTCAGGGATCCTAGGATGCTCTGAGTCACAATGCATGAGGTCTTTCTTCTTGAATGGGATTGGGAGAATGCTCTTTCATGGCCTGAGCATGAAAGTTCTGGTCTCGCAAACTTTTGGGAGGTTTCGGAGGACAAATGAGAACACATTCCTCTCACATGACCTCCAGAGGACACATAAAAGCACACCTCATTCTTTTCAGCCTGCACAGATAAGTTCAAATACAAATGGAAAAATAAAGACCTAAAATAGACATCTAACTTCAAAATCGTCATCAAAAAAGCACAACAAAGAATATTCTTTCTGCGCCAACTCAGAAACCTCAAATTGCCCAAGGAGCTGCTGTTACAGTTCTACAGAGGAATTATTGAGTCTGTCATCTGCACCTCTATGATTTGGCTTGGTTCTGCAATCCAACAAGACAGACACAGACTTCAGAGGATAATTAGAACTGCAGAAAAAACAATTACTACCAACCTGCCTTCCATTGAGGACCTGTATACTGCACGAGTCAAAAAGAGGGCTGTGAAAATATTTATAGACCCCTCGCATCCTGGACATAAACTGTTTCAACTCCTACCCTCAAAACGACGCTATAGAGCACTGCACGCCAGAAAAACTAGACACAAAACAGTTTTTTCCCGAACGCTGTCACTCTGCTAAACAAATAATTCCCTCAACACTGTCAAACTAGTTATTAAGTCTGCATTACTATTAATCTTCTCATTGTTCCCACCACCCATCTCCTCCCACTTATGACTGTATGACTGTAAACTTATTGCTAGTATTCTTAAGTATTCTTAAGATTTATATTGATTGTTTCCTGTTATGATATGATTTGATTGCTTAATTGTTCCCTATGACTACCATTAAGTGTTGTACCTTATCATTCTTGATGAATGTATCTTTTCTTTTACGTACACCAAGAGCGTATGCACCAAGACAAATTCCTTGTGTCCAATCACACTTGGCCAATACAGAATAGAATTCCATTCCATTCCATAAGAAATGGCCCCAAAGCATCTCAGCAAAGAGACACTGACTCTTTCCTTCCTTGGAGTACCAGAAAGCCAGATCCTTTCCTTCTCCGTCCCAGGAAACAGTATCTGATTAGTGATTTTTTAAATAAAAAAAATAATGATAATCTGTCTTCTTGAACTCTCTGATTTGGGACAAGAAAATTTACCGAGAGAGACCACGTTCCTATAGTTTTCAAGCATGACTTCCGAATGCAGCACTTTTTGGTCAGGATCCAGGTGAGACCATTCCTCCTCAGAGAAATACACAGCCACCTCCTCGAAGGACACGAGACTCTCCTGAACACGGAAAAAAGAACAGAACAGATTCACAAAGTCTGATCAACTTCATCAATGATTTAGACAAGGAGATAGAAGGGGAACTCATCAAATTTGCAGACAAGACCAAATTGACAGGAATACCAACACTCCACAAGGTAAGCTCAAGATATAGAAGGATTGACAGATTGGCACCTTCTAACAAAATGAACTTCAATGGTGAGAAATGTATGTGCTACATTTAGGAAAGAAAAACCAAATGCACTGCCATAGAATAGGTGATACCTGGCTCTACAGTAGAAAGTAGGGATCTTGGAGTCCTAGTGGACAATCGCTTAAACGTGAGCCAGCAGTGTGCTACAGTTGCCAAAAGACACCCAACAGAATCATATGTTACATTAAGAGAGAGATAGAATCAAGATCACATGAAGTATAGTACCACTTTATAATGATTTGGTAAGACCACACTTAGGAACTTTGCATCAAGTATTGGTTCCCATGATGTAAAAAAGATCTTGAGACTCTAGAAAGAGTGCAAGGAAGACCAACCAAGATGATGAGGGGACTGGAGGCTAAAACATACGATGAACGGGTGCAGGAACTGGGCATGGCTAGTCTAGTGAAGAGAAGGACCAGGCGAGACAGGGTAGCAGTGTTCCAATATTTGAGGGGCTGCCACAGAGAGGAGGGAGGTCAAGCTATTTTCCAAAGCACCTGAAGGCCAGTCAAGGAATAATGGATGGAAACCGAACAAGGAGAAATTCAACCTGGAAATAAGGAGACATTTTCTGACAGTGAAAGCAATCAACCCATGGAACAGAAGTTTCCTTCAGAAGTGGGAGCTTCATCACTGGGAGCTTTCAAGAAGAGACTAGACTGCAACTTGTCAGAAATGGTGTTGGGAGGTTGGACTAATGACCTACAAGGTCCCTTCCAACTCTGTTAATCTGTACCTTAGGAGGTTGATAAATTGAAAAAAAAAAGGTGGTCCAGCAGTTCCTGCCGCTGTGATACGTTTATTCCTAATCCTTGAAGGACGTTAAAAGAAGTGTTTCTTGTAAAGGCAAATTTGGAGGAGCACCTAGCAGAACAAGACAACCAGAGGAAGCTATGCTGGCTGACAGCAACTTCAACCTGCTATTCTGCTCTCTATATGGTGGAAGAACACAAAAATAACTCAGTCCAAACAAGGGGGGGAATAGAAGGAGAGAGAACTCTGTACACCCGCTTCACTTCCTGAAGGGAGAATACAAGTCTAATAACCTTTCCTTTTCTTACTTGATTTGAAGGTTCAACCACTGCTTGATCTCCGTCATAAAAACCAGAAAATTTCATTCTTTGTTTCTCTGTAAGGAATAAATAATTTCAAAATGCATAATTAACAAAATAGGAGGAGGTATTCTATAGAAGAAAAGAGAGTAAAGGTAAAACAGATGGGTAATCGGAGGATCTTCTATTACCTCTTGAGGTGTTCTGACTTGGATCTTCCCAAGAGATCCTCCTCAAAAATAGCTCCTGGGGGGGATTTGATGGATTCTTCTTTCCCTCAGGATCTCTGATCTCCACAGTGCAGGACTTCCAATAGGAGGAAGGAAAAAAGAAGCAGAATGAATGTACATCACACGACATAAAGTGGATTCGTATATTCGAAACACAACCTCAAAGCCCCCAATATCCATCAGTGTGGTTGAGTGAGAAAACAAATGGAACAACGTTCTACAAGAATTGGTGGGACATTGCCACATATTATGAATGTCAGAGAGGTTTGGGAAGGAGGGGTGAAATATTAAAACAGATTCTCTATTCTCTATTGAACTCTTACCTGCAACTCGACCTGCTCCTTCTGCTCCTCCACCTGGCTCAAGAGGAAGCCTTCAGCCAGGGCCACAGCCTCGGAGCTGGTCTCTGCTCCACACTCCCGCACCCAGCACTCCATCTCTGGGGGCAGGAGAGCCAGGAACTGCTCCAGAACCACCAGGTCCAGCATCTGGGCTTTGGTGTGCTTTTCTAGTCTCAGCCATCGCCTACAAAAGTCATGGAGTCGGCTACAAAGTCCTCGGGGACCTTCAGTATCCCAGTATTGGATGAACTTCCAGGGCTGAACTTCTGAAGGGAGGATGGCTTCCTCCTCCGGGATCTCCTGCCCAGACCTTCTCCAGAGCTTCCGCCCCTTCCCAGGAATTTTTCCCTTTCCCTCCTTTCCAAAAGGTTGTGTCTCCATCCTTTCTCTGTCCTGCAGAGCAACTCCAAATGGTTCCAAGGACTCTGGTGGGTCTCCGGATGCCTTTTCCTTCATGGAGACCATTTCTGATGCTGCAGGACTGATCCCTGCAAGGGATTCCACTCTTTTTATTTTCCCCCAAGGGAAAAGTTTGCCTTGCAAAGACCACAAATGGCTTCTAGTTTCTGTATCTGAGACGGAAAGAAAAATAAATATTAACAATTAGAAAGTGGAATTCAGCCACTGAACAACTTCACACTAACTGCCTGGAGCCCCAAGAGGCTCACCCCAGTGCAGGGCTGAGGTCCCCCCCCCCCCCGAGCAGGGCTGGGAAGGAGGTAGCTGGAGAGGCCGCCCCATTTCTCTTCACCTCCAGAGCCTGGTAGCCTGGTGCGAATCCTGCCTCCTCCTCGCCCGGCTTCTCTCCACTCCTGCAGGGCATCCCCTCCCCCCACTCAGGCTCTTTGCATGGAGAGGGCGGCTGGGGAGCATGGGATCTGGGGTTGGAGCCGGAGGAGGGCCGGGCGCAGGTCTCTTCCTCCTCTGCCTCCCTTTGCCCAGGAAGAGCCCCCAAGACACCCGGGGCACGTCTGGATCTCCCCCCGCCAGACTCTCCTGCAGCCTCTCCACCTCCTGCGGAACCCCAGGGGTTAAGGAGAGCGAGTGCGGAGTCCTAGAGCGGCAAGCGTTTCTGATGTCATTTCCTTCCCAGCCTCATCAGGAAAGACAGCTGTGACGTTCGCCCTCCGGCGGACCAATGGGGAAGCGCATGACGCTACCTTCTTTTAGCAGATGGTGCCCCCTGGTGGATGGGGCTCCCCTTGAGGAGCACCCAGAGGCTCCAACTGGTGCAGAATGTGGCTGCATGGGGGATTATGGGAGTGATGGGGCACTCCCATGTGACACCTCTCCTGCGCGAGCTGCATTGGCTCCCGCTGGTCTTCCAGGTGCGCTTCAAGGTGTTGGTTATCACCTTTAAAGCGCTCCATGGCTTAGGGCCTGGGTACTTGCAGGACCGCCTTCTGCCACCGATAGCCTCCCATCGGCCAGTACGCTCCCACAGAGAGGGACTCCTCAGGGTGCCGTCGGCCAGGCAATGTCGGCTGGCGACCCCCAGGGGGAGGGCCTTCTCTGTGGCAGCACCTGTCCTTTGGAACAACCTGCCCCCGGAGATACGTAGGATCCCAGATCTCCGTGCTTTTCGCCGTGCCCTTAAAACTTTTTTATTTCATCAAGCTGGGCTGGTTGACCCCCACTCCCACCCCCTTAGATATTTTTAGATATTTTTAATTATAAATTGATTTTAGTTGGGGTGTTTTAAATTTTATATTGAGCCAAAACTTGTTTAATTCTTTTGAAATTAATCTTAAATTTTGTATGTGATGTTTTTATTCTTGGCTATTCACTGCCCTGAGTCCAGTAGGAGAAGGGCGGTATAAAAATCTAATAAAACATTGGCTATAGGTTAAATTTCAATGACTGGGAGGAGGCCTGGAATAGGAACTACAATCTGACTAAATCAGCATCGTATAGGGAGAACCATTACAAAATTTTCCATAGATGGTATCTAGCGCCAGCTAGGTTAGCAAAAATATTTCCCAATGCTTCAACAATATGCTGGAAATGTGGAAAGGAGGTTGGCACCTTCTTTCATATGTGGTGGTCCTGCCCTGAGACAAAATAGTTCTGGATAAAAATACAAAATTGGTTACGAGAAATAGTGGAAGAAGATATAAAACTTTCCCCTGAAATTTTTCTACTAGGAATGATTGGAGATGGACTCCCCAAAGATAAGATACATCTTACAATACATGTCATTACAGCAGCCAGGTTAATCTTTGCAAAATACTGGAAAGACAAACAAAGCCCTCCAGAGGTGGCAATAATAAATAAAATTCTAGAATGTGCAGAAATGGTAAAATTAACAAGTGTTCTTAACGATGATACGAATTCAAAATTCAAGGCAGTATGGGAAAGGTGGTATAAATGGTGGAATACTAGAATGAGATTGTAAGAATATGTATATGTTCAATAATCGCAGATTCGAATGTAATAGATATATATATAATGTATATAACATAAATATGTAACTATACGACACCTCAGATGTTAACAGTGATTGGACGTTTTCTTTTAAAAAAATTTTTTTCTTTAAAAAAGTCAATAAAGTATATTTAAAAAAAAATCTAATAAAATAAATAAAATAAAATAAAGTGTCAGGATTGTAAAAAGGGTGGGAAAGAGGTGTGTGTCTGAGAGGAAGGGAGAGGGCAGGCTTGAGAGTAGGAGAAAGGCCCTTTCCATTGCTCCCTGGCAGACAAAGGCTTCAACATCTCCAATGGTGGCATTTTCTCCAACTTCCTCTCCTTCCTGTCCAGGAATCGTCTGTGGAGATGGAGAAAAATCTCTCTGAAGGATTTGAACTCGCTTCCCTCAGGAACAGTGCCCTGAAGGCTGAGCAGAGATTGGAGGAGGCCTCAAAAAGGTCCAAATCCAGTCAGAAGAGAAGGACCAGGATGTTCTCTGGGAAACACAGCTTGTGTCTTGCGGTTGTTGAGAACTTCAGTCTAAACTGGAGGAAGATGGGACACAGTCACAATCAGAAAAATGGAGATTTCTATCGGTTTTCATTTCTTTAATTCAATATATGGAGCTGCCCTTCTCACGTTCATGGCTCTGGGTGTCTAAGAATTAATTCTCAGCTATTTTAATAAAATAATTAATTAAAGTAATTAAAGTAATTAGAAATGCCGAGCGGCTGCTTGTGACCAAGGAAATAATGCTGAAGAACAAGAAATCTCAAAGGTAAACCAATTCCAAAATCGAGAAAAAGCTCAAACTAGTGAATGTTCCAGAAATTTTACTTCAGAACGAGGTAAAATTTGGTGGAGAAATGAAGAGGGGGGAAATGGCGTCTCATCTGTGACTAGAGAAAGGATGGAATTGCAAAATGGTGACAGGAAAAGAATGAAAAGTGATTTTTGTTTTAATTATTCCTTTCACCAAACATAATCGAGGAACTGCATTTACATATATCCAAGATATATATAAAAGGGAAAAAACCAGGAAGAAAATGTGAAATATACCAAGAGTGTGAATAAATAGATCTATTTCTGTGTTGTGGGTATTTGTTTATATGTATGTACATACACACACATACACTTTGCATGTCTAATCACACTTGGCCAAATAAAGTATTCAATTCAATTCAATATACATATAATAAATATACCATATTATAACATTGTTATTAAGATGGACCATAAAATCCATCAAAGTTTATTAAAATTGTCGTTCCTGTCTATGATATTTCATGATTTTAATTTTGTAATTTTCTGTAAGGTAGTAATTATGAATTCCCAATTCAAAGGTTATTGTAGAAAAGGTCCTTCTGATCCTCTTTTAGATAACATCTCTGCAATACAGTAATTAAGCAATATGAACCCATTGTCTACTTCAGGAGTCTCCAACCTCAGCAATTTTAAGACTTTAAGACTTCAACTCCCCCAGACAATTTAGGAATTCTGGGAGTTCTGCAGCTCCAATCTCAGAGTCCCACCTCATGGGATCAGGTGTGGGCTCTGAAATTGAAAGGATGGGGCAGGACTCCAGCACTGGACTGAATGAGATGATCTCAAAGATCCCCTCACCATATCCTTCTGTTCCTTGATTTTATGGAGGGCTGCCTTACACGAGGGGTTGGACTAGATGCATCCACGGTTCTTCTGACCCTTCCATTGTAGGATTTTATATTCGTGTGCAAATGTAAGCGTACACCCCGTTGAAATGTTTGACAATTTCACCATATTTCACCACACATATATCTGATCTTCATTTGAATGATACGTAAGGGAATATTTTATTTTATTTTATTTTATTTTAATTTATTTTTATATGCCGCCCTTCTCCGGAGACTCAGGGCGGCTTAAAATACATATTGTGACCTTTACATTTGGTAGTCAACCTGGTGTTTACCGGTTCTGACGTCTGCATCCTTTGTCTCTGAAGTCTCCCCATTTTTTCCTACTGGCCTTATTTTGAAGTGGGGTGGAGAGGACCTCCTTCTTCTGTTCCCTCTCCACTGTCTCAGGGTCTTTTCCTCCTGGATGTAGATTTTTCCATTTCTTCTCTGCTAGGTCCTCCTCAAGCAGCATGGTACCTGGATAATCATGTATGACTTTCCCCTCACCTTCTCCCCACTGAATGGGTAGCTAGACTAGGGTTGTGCTTACCTTCCAGGGGTGGGTTCTACTTACCTTTACTACTGGTTTGTGCGCGCGTGCGCACGCTCTTCTACACATGTGCAGAAGCTTCTACACATGTGCAGTGGGCGGGGCCTCCCACCAGTTTTACTATTGGTTCTATAGAACCGGTGCAAACCAGGGGCAACCCACTACTGTTACCTTCCCTTGAAGACCCAGCATCTCCACTGCTTCCGATGGGCCAACTGATGCTTTTTGACCAAGAACGATGAACTGTGGAAATGGTAGCCCCAAGATCTCTGGACAGCTAGTTTCTTGGCCTTATTACAGAAATTCTTTAAATTGTTTGCCGCCCATCTCGCTCTAAGGCAGCCCCTTTGAAATGTCCCACCATCCTTGAAGCATCCAGGTGCTGAACTTTTGACGAGTTTGGGCACTTCTGGCAGAGCAACTTTGACTGGAGCTTTGGGCCGGCCTATCAGTTGGTTCTTGGTTGGGGCCCCCATGGGTTATTTTGGGACTTTTCCACCTGCTCCATAGTGCAGTTGGCTTAGCCAGAGGGAAGGGCCCCCAACGTGGGAGGAAAGAGGGCTTTCAGTGGTGCCGGAATCTAGAGTCTTGGAGGAAGAGAGATGAATTTGGCTCCCCATTTCCTTCTTCTGTTCCCTTCCCCCCTCCTGCAGGGAAGGTTTGGTGAGTGGGAAAAGAGTCAAGTCCTGCCGCTTCCCTCTCTCAGAGCTGCAATAAGGAGCAGCTGGCGTTCCACGTCCCACCCCTCCCGCAGAGCTGGGATCCCGGAGCTCCCTCCCTCCACAGCACCAGTTGCTGCCCCTCCTGCCCAGCTGTGAGGCGCAGCCCCTTCTGCACCCCGGGCCCTCCCTGCAAGCCAGGGGGCGGAGTAGCCAGGAGAGGGCAGCTAGGCACTGGGGTGAGTTGTCCGTGGAGCTCTGCAGGGGCCACTGGGGAAACTTGTAGGCAGGGGACCGGAGACTTCCGCCTCTCTTGCAGTGTTTCATTTTCTCCTGCTCCTTCTTCCCCTTATCTTCTCATTTCTTTGTGGGCATGGCTTGGTGGGCGTGGCAGGGGAAGAATACTGCAAAATCCCCATTCCCACCCCACTCCAGAGGCCAGCCAGAGTGTTCTGTCCCCGTCTCACACATGCACCCCCACAGACGGTCAATAGTGAAATAAACCAGCCAACAAAGGTTTTTCTAAGAGAATTGGCAGCAACCCAGTGGCTGGCTGCCAAGAGTCTTTTACTTACGAAGGGAGTGTCTTTCAAAGCCAACACACAACAGATAAGAGACTATTCAAAAAGTCCAGCAATGCAGAGAGGTTTGTTCAATATCAGTTTTTGCTCGTCATAGAGCTTGAACGGCCACCACACCCCCTTTTATACCCTGTGGGGTGTGGTCCAGTGACTCAGCCTAATCCCTGGCACACCTCTTCCTCTGCTGTGCACACTTATCTCTGCGACGCTGTCGAGGGTCCAGCCAAGATTCATCATCATCATCATCATTACTGTCCACCTGCGGCTGCATGGAAGTGCTTGGCCCCGGGCCTATCTCTTGGCTTTTGGAGGACATCGGAGGCATTGCCAGAGAGGAGGGTCCTGGAGAGGGAGGCCTTGCCAACTCCTCTCCTTCACTCTCGGAGTCTCTCCTGCTGATAACACAGGCTCGGTGATCGGAGCCACAACACATAGGTGTATTTGTCAGTTCTCCAAACTACTGAAAATTTCTGCTACTGGTTCTCCGAACTGCTCAAAATTCCCGCTACCTGTTCTCAAGAACCTGCTGGATTTCACTCTGCTTTGCTTCCTTCCTTTTTATTCCCATCTCCTTCCTTCCTTCCATTCCTTCCATCTTCTCCCTTAACTTCTCGTTCCCACTCCCTTCCTCCTTTTCATCTCCATCTCCTTCCTTCCTTCCTTCCCTTATCTTCTCATTCCCTCACCCCCTTCCTTTTATTACCATCTCCTTCCTTCCTTCCTTCCTTTTCCTTTTTTCTTTTCTTTCAACTTTTCCTTTCCTTTTTTTCTTTTCCCGTACTTTGTTTTCCTCCCTCTCTTTGCCTTTCATTCTTTCTTGCTACATTTTTTTCTTTCACTTCCTTTTCCATCTTTTTTCCTTCCTTTTCTCTCCTTTTCCATTTTTTTGTTTTCTCTCCCTTTCCTTTTTTCTCTTCCTTTCTCCTGCACTATATTTCTTTCTTTCCTTTTCCCTCTTTCTCCATTTCTTTTTCTTCCTTTCCTTCTCCTATTTCTGTGCCTTTCCTTTTTTCTCATTTTCCTTTTCTTCCTCTTTCCCTCTTTTCTCCCTTTCTTCCTCTCTTTCTTGCACTTGCTTTCTCTCTTTCCCTTTCTCAGTCACCATTTATTTCTCTTTCCTTCCTTCTTCTCTCCTCTTCCTTTTGGTCTACTTCCCCTACTCTTACTCTTCGTTTTTTCCCCAGTAGTTTTTTAATTTGAACTTATTCTAACCCATTTCTGAAGAAAGACGTACCCCATCACAAGGCAAGAATAAAGACAAAGGAGATTCAGATTTTTTTTCCCCCAGCCTCAAAGAATTCCATGAGTTTGTGTCCAAAATATTAAATTTATACTGAAAGAACAGAGGAATAAAATTCTCTTGGTGTCTTTTTTTCCCAGATGTGTTAGGAATAATTCTGGAGTTGCTTTTTATGTGCTTTTTCTGTTTGTTTGAAGCTTTCAAGAAGCATCAAAAATGAAAATTGAGCAGAGAAGCTACAGTGTTCCTAAAAAAAAAAAAAGGATATTCAGATAATCCTAGACTTACAACAGTTCATTCAGTGATGTTCGAAGTTACAACGGAATTGAAAATAGTGACTTATGACTGTTTTTCACACTTGCAACCATTGCAGTATCCTCATAGTCACGTGATCAAAATTCAGACAACTGAATCGCTTAGCAACTGACTCGTATTTAATGACGGTCGCAGTGTCACGCGTCACATGATCCCCTTTTGCAACCTTCTGACAAGCAAAATCAATGGGGGAACCAGATTCACTTAACAACCGTGTTACCAATTTAACAACCTCAGTGATTCACTTAACAACCGTGGGAAGAAAAGTCGTAAAATGGGGCAAAACTCAACAACAGAAATGTTGAGCTCAATTGCGGTTGCAAGTCCAGGACTACATGTATGTAGTAGGGCGTGTAGCAATTTCTTGTTCATGGGGGTTTTATATTTCTTTCAATTCTATTTCTCTTTACTGCATAGAATAGAACAGAACAGAATGTCAGGGTTCCAAGTAACACCCCCAACGAAAGAAAACTCCAAGGCTTGGATTTCCACAAAGTCACATTTTATTAGTGATGTCGTATTGGCACATCTGGGGAAGCCCAAATCTGAGAGCTTCCAGGGTTTCCCCGCCCAAAGGAAGTTCAAGTCCCTGCCCAACACCCCCAAGTCCATCACATGGTCCAATTACAGCACGGTCCCAACTGGACAGGCCTCCCAATTCCAGCCTCCCAGGTGCAGGGCAAGATGGCCTTGACTTTCTGTGAAAGGAATATTTTAATTTAATTTAATTTAATTTCCAATTTATATACCGCCCTTCTCCCTGAGGACTCAGGGCAGTGTACAGCCAAGATAAAAAACATAGAATACAAATATTAAAACATTTAAAAATATATATAAATTTTGGCCCGAAAGTTAAGAATCACAGACTAATTAAAAGAATTTAAAAAATTTCTTCTTAAGCCAACCCGGCTTGCTGAAAAAGATAGGTTTTCAGGGAACGACGGAAGGCATTGAGGTCCTGGATTCTTCTTATCTCCGGGGGCAACTGATTCCAGAGGGTGGGAGCCCCCACAGAGAAGGCCCTCCCCCTGGGGGCCACCAGCCTACATTGTTTGGCTGATGGCACCCTGAGGAGGCCCTCTCTGTGGGAGCGCACGGGTCGATGGGAGGTCATCAGTAGCAGCAGTCATATTGTTATGACTATGTATCACCAATGCTCCATACAATCCTCCCCTCCCAGTTTCCCACACTAGGAAACTCGGCAGGCCTGAAGGCACAACAGAAATGGATTCCAGGTATGACAGGCGGCCCTCCCCCACTCCCCCGGACAGAAAAGCGTATCCTGGAAAGAGAGTAACATAGTGGTTAAAATTCAACATACTAACCACCTCTCCCTCCTCCAGGGGGCCCTTTGCCTTATCAGGAAATTTATCATGGAACTGCTTTATCAGTCTATCTGCCTTAACATTCCAACTTTAACCCAAGTCGCTTCGGACAAAGGGTACCCTTTCCAATGTGCTAAGTATTGCAATCTACCTCTATACAGTCTAGACCATTTCAGGATCTATTGATAGTCCTATAGGATCTATTTCAGACAAGTGACTATCCCGTCTCTTCTTAAAAACGTCCAGGATGAAGGAACCACAATGTCTGAAGGAAAGCTGTTCCACTGGTTAAATGTCTTTACTGTAAGGAAGATTCTTGTTAATTCAAGATGGCTTTTCTCCTTGATTATTTTGAATGCATTGTTTCTTGTCCTGCCCACTGTTCTGTCCCCGTACCACACACGCACCCCACAGACGGCACGGAGTTAATAAGCCACACGACAAAACAAAAGATAAAGCTGGCAGCAACCCAGTGGCTAGCTGCCAATTCAGACTTTACTCACACAAAACAAAGATTAAACTGCAAGCATTCCGATAAAACAGGCAGAGCTTCAACAATACAAGGATTAATCCAAATGCAGTCCGATAAAGCAGGCAAAGTCCAGTAACCACACCCACATTTATACCCTGTGGGGTGTGGTCCAGTGACTCAGCTAATCTCTGGCATGCCTTCCCCTCTGCTGCGCACGCTTCTCCCTGCGCCTCTGCCGAGGGTCCAGCCAGCACTTATCTTCTTCGTCGCTGTCCACCTGTGGCTGCGGGGATGTGCTTGGCTCTGAGCCTATCTTTTGGCCTTCGGTGTCCTCTGGAGGCATTGCCAGAGAGGAGGATCCTGGAGAGGGAGGCCTTGCCAACTCCTCTCCCTCACTCTCAGAGTCTGCATCTGTCGATAGCCCAGGCTCAGGCAACGGAACCACAACACCCAAGCTTATTATTGCCCACAGCCAGGAATTCGATCCTGAAAGGCTCATGGTTGATTCAGCCTTTCATCCTTCTGAGGTGGGTAAAATGAGGAGCCAGATTGCTGGAGAACATATGCTTACTTTGTAAACTGCTCAGAGAGTGTTGTAAAGCATTGTGCAGTGTTATATAAGTCTAAGTGGAATTACCATTGCTATATAGTTTCTCACAAGCGTGGATCCATTTATGAGAAGAAAGACTACCTTTCTGAGCAAAGCTCTTTCCACATTCCATGCATTTATACGGTTTCTCCCCTGTGTGGCTCATCTTATGGCAATTAAGGTGATATCTTTGAGCAAAGGCCTTTCCACACTCCATACATTTATATGGCTTTTCTCCTGTGTGGCTCTTTTTATGGTTACCAAGTCCACTGCTATGCGTAAACGCTTTCCCACACTGCATGCATTTATATGGCTTCTCCCCTGTATGGATCATCTTATGGGAAATAAGATGACCTCTGTGAGCAAAAGTATTTCCACATTCCATGCATTTATATGGTTTCTCTCCTGTGTGGATTTTGTTATGGCAAGTAAGACCATACTTTCGAGCAAATGTCTTTCCACAATTCATGCATTTATATGGTTTCTCCCCTGTGTGGATCATCTTATGAGAAATAAGATGACCTCTTTGAGCAAAGGTCTTTCCACACTCCATGCATTTAAATGGCTTTTCCCCTGTGTGGATCTTTTTGTGCATAGTAAGTCCACTGCTACGAGTAAAGGTTTTCCCACACTGCATGCATTTATATGGTTTCTCCCCTGTGTGGATCATCTTATGGGAAATAAGCTGACCTCTTTGAGCAAAGGTCTTTCCACACTCCATGCATTTAAAAGGCTTTTCCCCTGTGTGGAGCTTTTTGTGTATAGTAAGTCCACTGCTACGAGAAAAGGTTTTCCCACACTGCGTGCATTTATACTGCTTTTCTCCTGTGTGGATCTTTTTGTGGTTACTGAGTACACTGCTATGAGTAAAGGTTTTCTCACACACCATGCATTTATATGGTTTCTCTCCTGTGTGGATCTTTTTGTGGTTAGTAAGTCGACTGTTATGAGTAAAGGTTTTCCCACACTGTGTGCATTTATACGGCTTCTTCCCTGTGTGGATCATATTATGGGAAATAAGTGGACCTCTTCGAGTGAAGGTCTTTCCACATTCCATGCATTTAAATGGCTTCTCCCCTGTGTGGATCTTTTTGTGTATTCTGAGATTACTGATCTGAGTAAAGGTCTTTCCACACTCCATGCATTTAAATGGCTTTTTTCCTGTATGGAGCTTTTTGTGGATAGTAAGTCCACTACTATAAGCAAAAGTTTTCCCACACTCCATGCATTTATATGGTTTCTCTCCTGAGTGGACATTTTTATGGGAAGTAAGATTACTTCTTTGAGCAAAGGTCTTTCCGCACTCCATGCATTTATATGGTTTCTCTCCTGAGTGGATCCTTTTATGGGAAGTAAGGTTACTTTTTTGAGCAAAAGTCTTTCCACACTCCAGACATTTATATGGTTTCTCTCCTGAATGGATCCTTTTATGAGAAATAAGATTACCTCTTTCAGTAAAGGTCTTTCCGCACTCCATGCATTTATATGGTTTCTCTCCTGAATGGATCCTTTTATGGGAAATAAGACTACTACATCTTGTGAACCTGTTACCACATTCTCTGCATTTGTATAGCTTCACCCCAGTGTGGATCCTTTCGTGGGAGGTAAGTTGCCTGCTTGTTCTGAAACATGTTCCACATTCCAAACATTTATAAGGCTTCTCTCTTGTGTCAATCACTTTTTGAGATGTAAGGGACTTATTTCCAAGAGAAGGAATGAACGTCCCATTGTAACTTTGTCTTTTTATAGCATCTTCTCCTTTGTTTTGGGTTAAAATGTGTTCTTTTACTTGTAATTTAGCGTTGATTAGCTTCACACTTTTTCCAGTATATTTTTCCCTTATTTTTTCTTGTTGGGCAAGAAAGTCTTGCATCAGAGCATCAGTGAAAGATGAGCTTTCCTCATCCCAATTATTTGACTGGTTTTTCTCATGGCTTTTGAATTCCATTTGAATTCCAAACTTCTCTGTTCCATCTTTAGCATTGATCACTTGGAACAGTTCACAGGAATCTTGATTCTCCTGCTCATTATTACCTTCAAAGAGAAAGAGAAATGAAAATGGTAACAAGGTTAGAGAAAAAGATCAAAATGTAGAAAATAAAACAAATTTCCTTCTAAATTTTTCCGAAATTCCATTAGGTTGTTTGCATGCTAAAAGGGGTGTGATATAGACATGATTATTTCTATGTTCATGAGTCATGAAAGCTTTGAAAACATCTAAAAAACATCTCTTTCTTTACAATTATCTATATATATGCACATCTCACTCAAAGTCAGTTTTGAGATAAGGAATAATGAGGGGAAACATCCAAGCAGGAATAAGGAGAAAACATAAGAATTATTTGGGTTGGGTTAATTTCAGCAGAGACCTGTGAGAACTGAAACAATTTTGAAACAAACTCCTTCATCCCCAGCGTACCTTGGAGCAGCTGCTCCATGATGTCTGTCTGGCAGGACCCCCACTCGGCCTGTTCCTTGATCCCAGCGATGAGATTTTGGAATGAAATCCCTTGCTTGAAGCCTCCCATTGGCTTGTAAACGCTCTTTGCACTGAGACTGGAAAGGTTGGGAGGCTTCAGGATTTCGCTGCTCCAATGTCTTATCAGCTGGATCTGGTACAGGCTTCAGGCTTCAGTTTGCAGAGAATAGAGGCCTAAACTACTTTAGTGCGAGATCACATGACACCAGTAGTGCAAGATCTCAGGCTAGTAATCTCGCATGAACCCACACTGCAGTACTTTAGGCCTGTGTTCTTTTAAGAACTGAGGACTGCATGAGATCCAGGACAAAAGTCTTTGAAAAAAAGGGGCCTTCCTTCTGTACCCTAGGATGCTCTGAGTCACACTGCATGAGGCCTTTGCTCTTAGATTGGATTGGGAGAATGCTCTTCCACAGTCTAAGTGTGAAAGTTCTGTTCCCACCAATTTTGGGAAGGTTTCAGAAGACAAATGACAACATATTCTTGTCACATGATCTCCAGAGGACACATAAAAGCACACCCCATTCTTCTCAGCCTCCACAGAGAAGTTCAAATAGAAATGGAAAAATACAGATAAGGAATGCTCCAAAAGCATCTTAGCAAAGAGACACTGACTCTTTCCTTCTTTGGGGTACTAAAAGGCCAGATCCTTTCCTTCTCCCTCCCAGGAGACGATATCTGATTAGTGATTTTTAAAATAAAAAATAACTATAATCTGTCTTCTTAAACTCTCTGATTTGGGACAAGAAAACTCTTACCCAGAGAGACTACATTCCTATGGTTTTCAAGCATGACTTCCGAATGCAGCGCTTTTTGGTCAGGATCCAGCTGAGACCATTCCTCCTCAGAGAAATAAACAGCCACCTCCTCGAAGGACACAAGACTCTCCTGAACACAGAAGAAAGAACAGAACAGGAGAATTCGCAAGAGCTGTTCATCATCCTCAATGATTTAGACAAGGGGATAGAAGGGGAACTCATCAAATTTGTAGACAAGACCAAATTGACAGGAATAGCAACACTCCAGAAGATAGGCTCAGGATATAGAACAGTGGTTCTCAACCTTCCTAATGCCGCGATCCTTTAATACAGTTCCTCATGTTGTGATGACCGCCAACCATAAAATTATTTTTGTTGCTACTTCATAACTGTAATTTTGCTGTTATGAATCGTAATGTAAATATCTAATATGCAGAATGTATTTTCATTGTTACAAATTGAACATAATTAAAGCATAGTGATTAATCACAAAAACAATATGTAATAAATGAGGAAGGTCAGCATGCATTGGTAGGAGTGAGTTGCTCATAATTTTTCTTCTTACCTTATTTATATTGTCCCCCATTATTATATGAAAGAACCTGTTACTCAGCATTTTATTAATTAGTCAATAGAAATTTTTGCAGGGGATAATATGGCACAGTTTGTATAACAAACTATCCTCCTTGTGTCATCTAAGAACACAGCTCTGGTTTTGAAGCCTTGCAAGGAATATAAATCCTTCCATTCCCCAACATCTCTAGTCGGAGCTGAAGAAGCCTCTTGGTGGATGAGAAGCCAAAACGTCTTCAAAGAAAAAACAAGAAACTCCAGTGGGGAAAAAAAGCAACTTTGGGATATGACTTAGCAGCTGCTAGGAAAGGGGGGTAACATTTTTCCGAAGAGGAAGGAAAACACGCATACAAGGCTGCGAGACAGGAGCCACGAGGCTCCAGCCCTTAAAATGTTCAGCAGCGAGAAAACAAGCACTGAGCCAAAGGGCGCCACGAGAGAGGCGTGTTTGCACAGCAGCCACGTTGCCTTGAAGGAGGAGTTGGCTAAATTGACTGATTCTGGTTTCATCCTGCAGACAGTTATCTTCTGCCTCTCTTCCACGCTTCGTTTCCCAGCAGGGAGTTTTCGGGGCCATGCAAAACCTCGGGTCTATCCCACCCCAACCTGCTTTCCATGGCTAAATTAGTCCCCAAGCTGCGGGCCACCAACCCCCCCCCCCCGACAAATTTCGCTCTTCACTGGCACTGGTTTCCCCCACCCGGTACTAACAGGCCTGCTGGGCCCGCAGGTCAGTCGAAAAAAGAAGAAGGCACGACAGATTCCGCGCAAGCAGGCCTGAGCCGCCCAGGCCCCGAGCCGCCATGATGCAAATGAAGCTGGGAAGAAATGAGCTGACAGATCCAGTCCACCTACCGCGAAGGCGTGGGTTTAGAGCTGCCCAGCAGGGGGCGCCATAGCCTCTAAAGCAGTGGTTCTCAACCTGTGGGTCGGGACCCCTTTGGGGGTCGAATGACCCTTTCATGACCTTTGACCTAGTAGTCTGAGCCATTGGGTGAAAGAAAGAAAACAAAGAAGAGAAAATTCCCTGGGAAGGTCATTTCTCACCCTTTGGAAAGCGGGAATGTTTGATCTCCTAATCGAGGCGCAAATCAGAGGATTGGAAATTATTTTGTAGCCCAAAGTACCATGATTACATGCTCTACGTAGCCATTCTCTTTGGATTTTGAACTACAGGTTATAAACAAGACTTTTTCAAAATGGTACTTTGGCACTGTGAGCATTTAGTTATTTTTCATTAGCCTTGCACAATTCCAAGTCAATGAACAACCCTAGATGATAGGCTCAAGATCCAGATGGATCTTGACAGACATGAACACTGGGCCCAATCTAACAAAATTAAATTCAATGTAGAGAAAAGTAAAGTTTTACACTTTGGCAAGAAAAAACAAAAGTCCACATATAAACTGGGTGAAACCAAGCTTATTAGCAGTAACTGTGAGAGGGACATTGGACTCTTAGTGGACAACCAATTAAATTTGTTTTTCCAGTTTTGGTCACACTATAAAAAAGATGTTGAGACTCTAGAAAAAGTGCAGAGAAGAGGAACCAGGATGATTAGGGAACTGGAGACTAAAACATATGAAGAACAGTTACAGGATCTGGGCATGGCTAGTCTAGAGAAGAGCAGGACCAGGGGAGATATGATAGCAATATTCCAATATTTGAGGGGCTGCCACAGAGAGGAGGGGGTCAAACTATTTTCCAAAGCACCCGAAGGCCAGGCAAGGAATAATGGATGGAAACTGAATAAGGATAGATTCAACCTGGAAATAAGGAGACATTATCTGACAGTGGGAGCAATCAACCAATGGAAGAGAAGTTGCCTTCAGAAGTTGTGGGACCTTCATCACTGGGAGCTTTCAAGAAGAAACTGGACTGCTATCTGTCAGAAATGGTATAGGGTTTGCTTGGGCAAGGGATTGGATTTGATGACCTATAAGGTTCCTTCCAATTCTGTTAATCTATATCTTCCGAGGTCGATAAATTACAAAAAGAACGGAGGTCTAGCAGGTCCTGCCACTGTGATATGTTTATTCCTAATTCTTGGAAGGATTTTAAAAAATTGCTTCTTGTAAACTCTAAGTTGGAGGAGTACCTAGCAGAACAAGATAACCAGAGGAAGCTATGCTGGCTGACAGTAATTTGAACCTGCTATTGTGATGTCCATGTTGTGGAAGAACACAAAAATAACCCAGTCCAAACAAGCGGGGGGGGGAGGGGAAATAGAAGGAGAGAGCATTCTGCACACTCACTTCACTTCCTGAAGGGAGAATACAAATCTAATAACTTTTCCCTTTCTTACTTGATTTGAAGGTTCAGCCACTGTTTGATCTCTGTCATAAAAACCAGAAAATTCCATTCTTTGTTTCTCTGTAAGAAATAAAAAATTTCAAAATGCATAATTAACAAAATAGGAAGAGGTATTCTATAGAAGAGAAGAGAGTGAAGGCAAGACAGATGGGTAATCGGAGGATCTTCTATTACCTCCTGAGCTGTCCTGAGTTTGATCTTCCATAGGGCTCCTCCTGAAAAATAGCTCCTGTGGGGGATTTGATGGATTCTTCTTTCCCTCAGGATCCCTGATCTCCACAGTGCAGCACTTCCAATAGGAGGAAGGAAGGAAGAAGCAGAATTATTGTACATCACACAACGTAAAGTGGATTCCTATATTCAGAACACAACCTCAAAGCCCCCAATATCCATCAGTGTGGTTGAGTGAGAAAACAATGGAACAATGTCCTACAAGAATAGGTGAGACATCGCCACATATTATGAATGTCAGAGAGGTTTGGGAAGGAGGGGTGAAGTATTCAAATACATTCTCTATTCTCTTTTGAACTCTTACCTGCAACTCGACCTGCTCCTTCTGCTCCTCCACCTGGCTCAGGAGGAAGCCTTCCACCAGGGCCACCGCCTGGGAGCTGGTCTCTGCTCCATATTCCCGCACCCAGCTCTCCATCTCTGGGGGCAGAAGAGCCAGGAACTGCTCCAGAACCATCAGATCCAGCATCTGCTCTTTGGTGTGCTTTTCTGATTTCAGCCATTGCCTGCTAAAGTCATGGAGATGGCTGCAAAATCTTCGGGGACTCTCAGCTTCCTGCCATTGGATGAACTGCCAGGGCTGAACGTCTGAAGGGAGGATGGTTTCCTCCTCCAGGATCTCCTGCCCAGTCCTTGTCCAGAGCTTCCCCGCCTTCCCAGGCTGAGCAGCTGAAGGGCCTTTTCCGCTTCCCTCCTTTCCAAAAGGTTGTGTCTCCATCCTTTCTCTGTCCTGCGGAGCAGCTCCAAATGGCTCCAAGGACTCTGGTGGGTCTCCAGATGCCTTTTCCTTCACGGGACCATTTCTGGGGCTGCAGGACTGATCCCTCCAAGGGATTCCGCTCTTTTTTTCGCCACAAGAGAAAAGTTTGCCTTGCAAAGACCACCAATGGCTTCCAGTTTCTGTATCTGAGATGGAAGGAAAAATAAACGCCAAAGAATTAGAAAGTGGAATTCAGCCACTGAACAACCTTCACCCAACCTGCCTGGAGCCCCAAGAGGCTCATCCCAGCGCAGGACTGAGGTGCCCCCGAGCAGGGCCGGGAAGGAGGCAGCTGGAGAGGTGGCCCCACTTCGCTCCCCTCCGGAGACAGGGAGCCTGGTGCGAATCCTGCCTCCTCCTCACCCGGCTTCTCTCCCCTCCTGCTGGGCCTCCGCAAGGCCGACCCTCCCCCCCCCCCCCTACTCGGGCTCTTCCCCGGACAAAGGGAAGGGAAGGGAGCCCCGGAGCCCCTCCGCCTTCCTGGCATCCCCGGTTCTTCTGCTGCTGCTCCTTTGGAGGTCCGCTACCTCCTTCATGGAGAGGGCGGCTGGGGAGCATGGGACCAGGGAAGAGCCCCTCCCCTCACCCAGAGCACGTCTGGATCTCCCCCCGCCAGACTCTCCCGCAGCCTCTCCGCCTCCTGCGGAGCCTCAAGGGTTAAGGAGAACGAGTGCGGCTTCCTAGAGCGGCAAGCGTTTGCGATGTCACTCCCGTCGCCGCCTCCTCTGGAAAGGCAGCTGTGACGTTCGTCCTCCAGGGGACCAATGGGGAACCGTCTGACGTTAACTTCTCCTACCCGATGGTGCCCCCTGGTGGGTTTGGCGCAAAGTGCCAGGATTGTAGAAAGGGCGGGAAACAGGAGCGCGCCTGAGGAGAACGGACAGTACAGGGATGATGGACATGGGAGTAGTGTGGAAAGCCCCTAACAGTTCCTCCCTGCCCAAGAAAAGCATCGTGGTCTCCAGAGGCAGCAATTTCTCCATCTTCCTCTCCTTTCCTGTCCAGGAATTGTCGGTGGAGATGGAGAAAATTCTCTCTGGAGGATTTGAACTCGCTTCTTTCAAGAACATCCACCCTGAAGGCTTTGTATAGATTGTGGGAGGCCTCCAAATCTTGTCAGAACCAGCCGGGTGGTCAGAAGAGGAGGACCAGGAGCCTCTGTGGGGAAGACAGCTTGTGTCTTGCGGTTGTTGGGACTCTCGCCTGAAGGGGAGGCAGGAAGGCCACAATCAGGAAAATTATTTTTTTTATTTCTTTAATTCAATGCACGCAGCTGCCCTTCTCACACTGTTCACTCAGCCTCTTGGCAAAGGGAGGAGGCAGAAAGGGCAGAGACCCCTCTGGTCTCTTCTGAAGAGAACTTTATGCATGTTTCGCAAGTAACTACACGGCTGATACATATTTAATTTTAAGTTACCTTAACGTTATGACACACCATCAAAAGATAAAAATATGGCCCTGATGCTTGAAAAATATATTTTGCCCGTGCATTTGTTTTAGCTTCTGTTCATTCTGGTCCTTCTATGAAAAACAAATTGTTCACCCAGAAGATTTTTCCACACACTCTACATTGACATCTGTCATTATTCCATCTCATCATAAGAGGGCTGTTAAATTTCTAGGATCTAGCCCAATAACTCTCAGTACTTCATCAATAACAGAAATAACTTACTTATTTATTTTTGAGAATATAACTTAACCTATTCATATACATCTATAACCTTGCTTCTGAATCTCATAGATATTCATCTAAATCTGAGGGAAGTTTTACAGACAAGGACTTATATACCCGGAGGGAGGAGTCAAAGGTAAGGCGGAGTTGGGAATGGGATGGGTTTAAGGGATTTAACCCATGCTAAACCATAGAGTACAGAATAAATACAAGAGTTAGACATTTTATCCGACAAGGACTTTGACCGAAAAAGGTTCCCTGCTTCTACATTCATACTGGTGGACTCAGATCTTAATTTGACACAGCGGATGCAAGTTGGATTGAAGGATCCTTGGTGCCCTCTGAGGTTGATTGGTGCACTGATGATGTTCCCTAGTTTGAGTAATGAAATGTCTGCAACAAAACAATCAAGCTCAGAGAGCACCAAGGATCCCTCGTTTCAACCGTGAGTTATACATTTTCTCTTTTATTGGCAGATTGGATTATTTTTGGTGTGAGAACTTAATATGCATCCACATTTCCCTACCACCTCTTTCCCTTAATAAAACTACTTGTCAGGGTTCTGAGTAATGCTCCCAATCAATTCAGAACTCTGAGTTGGCTTGGCTTCCTCAAAAATCCAGTTTATTGGATACATTATATCTGCATGATCAAAGGTGAAAGCAAAATTGAATAATTCCCGTATTTTGGGTATAGGTAAAGAATTGATACTATTCCCCACCCTCATGTCACAGGTCACATTAGCTAAGAAAGAAGAAGATGAAGTTTTCAGCACTCCCTCCTGCCATTGTTGGGCACGCTAATTTGGCCTTGGTCCTCAGCAGTCTTATTGTTATGTCTGGCACATTGGGAGAAAACATTCTACATTCCATAAATTCCATCTCCCCACCCCCTCTTAAGTATGTGGGAAGGGAGGAGGCTTATTCAAACTATATATAGAGACGAAGCGGCAAAGGTGATGGTAAATGGTGAAATGACAGAGAAAATACATATTAGAAAAGGAACAAGAAAAGGAAGCCCTTTGTCTCCATTATTATTTATATTAACATTAGAGATTTTAAATAGAAAAGTGAGGCAGGAAAAGGAAATAAAAGGAATGAGAACTTAAAAAGAAGAATACAAACTTCAAGCATTTGCGGATGATTTGGTGTTTATCATGGAAGACCCAATAGACAGCGCCAAAACTATTAGAACAAATAGAAGAATATGGGAAAGAAGCAGGTCTGAAAATCAATAAAGATAAGACAAAAATATTAGTTAAAAATATAAGAGAAAAGAAAAAGAAAGAGATGATGGAGAAACTGGACATTCAAATTGTGAAGAAAGTAAAATATTTGGGCATCTATCTGACATCAAGATGTGCAACGCTCAAGGAAGGCAATTATCACAAACTGAAAAAACAAATTGAAATAGACCTGGAGAAATGGAGAAACTTGCAATTATCACTAATGGGAAGAATAGCATTAATAAAAATGAATGTATTACCAAAAATATTATTTTTATTTCAAACTATACCAATAAAACTGGAGAAAAAATATTTTGAAAAGTTGAAGAAAATAAAGTGGAAATATGTGTGGCAAGGAAAGAGAGCAAGGATTAACATAAAAATGCTACAAGATGCAAGAATTAGAGGTGGGTTTGACCTTCTGAATATTATCAAGCGGCAGCATTAACATGGATTAAAGAATGGATTTTATTAAGGAATACAAGACTATTGACATTGGAGGGTCATGATTTACAACTGGGCTGGCATGCCTTTTTTATGGTACGGGAAACAAAGGATACTTGGATATTTCCAAAGACATTATGTAAGAAATGGTTTGCTATCAGTGTGGGAAAGAGTGAAAGAAAAACATCATTTGAATATTCCAATGTGGCTTTCTACAATAGAAGCGGTGACATACCCAAATATTGTGAACATGGGGAATATTGTTAGATATAAAGACATTTTGACAAATCAGGGAGAAGTGAAACAAAAACAAGAATTAGAGAGTCAGATGATGTCAAGTAAAAGGAGAAAGGGGAGGGGGTAAAAGGGAAAAAAGTAAGATATTATAAAAATGTATGCAAATGATGAAATAAAAATAAATAATAATTGAATAAGAAATTGAAATGAGAATAAAGATAATTAGGAAATAGGGGCTGCTCGAATACCACTTTAGATTGAACTGAAAAGGGAAACAACAGGAGAGAGGGGAAGGAGTAGAGAGAGAGAGGAAGGGAAAAGAGAGGAGAGGAAAAAGAAGAAAGGGAAAAGGAGAGGAAGAAGAGGGAGGGGAAAGAAGAGTAGAGGAAAAGGTAGAAGGGGGGACGAAGAGAGGAGTGGGGAAGAGAAGAGAAGTAGGAAAGAGAAGGAGAGGAAGAACGAAGGAAGTAGGAGGAGAAACAGGAAGGAAGAGAAGGGGAGGAGAAGAAGAAAGGTTGGAGTAAAGGTAAAGGGTAAAAGAGCAGCCCTGAAAAAGTAAGAATTAAAAATGAATGTTAAAAGAAAAGATGAATGAAAAATGATGGAAATGACTGTACATGTAAATGTATTTATGAAAAATTAAAAAAAAAACTTTATTTAAAAAAGGTGATAAAATGCTGTACAATCAGACCAGAAATGTATTAACAAGGGAGATCAGAACAGCAAAAAGAAGCTACTCTGAAAAGCTAAAGAATCAGTTCTCAACAAATGAACCGGCAAACATGTGGAAAACTCTTAAGAATATCACCAGCTATGGCAAACCTCCTTCCCAGGCTGAAGGAAATCAACAACTGGCAGATGACCTGAACGTGTTTTACTGCATGTTTCAAAGGAAACTACAGCCACCTATCTCCATAACCCCCATCTCAGACACACCAACAACAGCCAAGCCTCCTACAACGGATCCCATCCCATTGGGTTCACAACCCCTAGTGATCCCAGAAAAGGAAGTGCAAGACCTATTTCACAGACAAATGCCAGGAAAAACTCCAGGCCCAGACAAGATAACTTCTTGCTTAAAAGTCTGTGCTGACCATTTGGCCCCCATCTTCACCTGTATCTTCAATAAATCGCTAGAGATGTGCAATGTTCCTTCTTGCTTCAAACGCTCTACTATCATCCCAGTGCTGAAGAAGCCCACCATCAAGGAACTGAATGACTACAGACCAGTTGCTCTAAAATCTGTAGTCATGAAAACCTTTGAAAGGCTAGTGCTGTCCCACTTGAAAACCATCACGGATCCGCTGTTAGACCCCTTGCAATTTGCATACCGAGCAAATAGATCAACAGAAGATGCTGTTAATATGACTCTGCACTACATCCTACAACATCTTGAATCTCCAAAGACCTACACAAGGGTCCTCTTAGAAATAGAATTACAGAGTTAGAAGGGACCTTGGAGGTCTTCTAGTCCAACCCCCTGCCCAGGCAGGAAATCCTACACCACTTCAGACAAATGGTTATCCAACATCTTCTTAAAAATTTCCAGTGTTGGAGCATTCACAACTTCTGCAGGCAAGTTGTTCCACTTATTAATTGTTCTAACTGTCAGGAAATGTCTCCTTAGTTGTAAGTTGCTTCCCTCCTTAATTAATTCCCACCAATGCTTCTTGTTCTACCCTCAGGTGCTTTGAAGAATAGTTTGACTCCCTCTTCTTTGTGGCAATCCCTGAGATATTGGAACACTGCTATCATGTCTCCCCTAGTCCTTCTTTTCATTAAATTAGACATATCCAGTTCGTGCAACTGTTCTTCACATGTTTTAGTCTCCAGTCCCCTAATCATCTTTGTTGCTCTTCTCTGTACTCTTTCTAGAGACTCAACATCTTTTTTACATCGTGGTGACCAAAACTGAATGCAATATTCCAAGTGTGGCCTTACCAAGACATTATAAAGTGGTATTAGCACTTCACATGATCTTGATTCTATCCCTGTTTATGCAGCCCAGAACTATGTTGGCTTTTTTGGCAGCTGTTGTACACTGCTGGCTCATATCTAAATGGTTGTCCACTAGGACTCCAAGATCCCTCTCACAGTTACTACTATGGAGCAAGGTACCATATATACGGTACCTGTGCATTTTGTTTTTCTTACTTAAATGTAGAAGCTTACTTTTTTCATTGTTGAATTTCATTTTTTTTTTTAAATTTGATTTATATGCCGCCCTTCTCCGAAGATTCAGGGCGGCTTACAATGTGCTCAGCAATTTTGTTAGATAGCGCCCAATATTCAAGTCTGTCAAGATCCTTCTGTATCTTGAGCCTATCTGTTGTGACCCAGGCCCAAGTAAGTAATAGGAAAATCAGTCAGTGAAAAAACAAACTTTATTTGAACAGCTGAGAATTATTTCATTTCCAGCGTCGTTAAACTAAATTAAAGCAAATTCCTCCCAACACAAATTCCTCAGTCCTATTGCAAATCTTGGTCCAATTAGGCAAACTGCCAAAGCCTTTCTTGGCAAACATTCAGAAGTCACAGATACAAAAATAAATACAAGACGTAGACGAAGAAGAAAACAAAGCTACCAACATTGTTTTCCGGCAAAGCCCAAACACCGTTGCTGATCTGTTTTAAGCCTTA